TATTTTTTTCATCTCTTCATTAAGTGCGCCTCACTAATATGTACACACGCTCTAAATTTCAAGTAATTTGGATTTGTAGAAAAAAATGAAAATTAAAACACTACCAGACAACTGTGAAAATGCGACGAAGTTTGGATGGTGATGAGGGTAGGCAAAATCACTGTTCATTTTCTCCTTAGAAGAATTTTCAAATATATATATATATGTTAATTTTTTTTTTTTTTCTTTTTTACGTATACTTTATTTTATTGTTTAATAATACACGTATGGTTGATTTTATTGTTAATTATAGACTTAAAGTTCCTGCAAATACCAAATTAGAAATTGAATCAAACATTGTTTGAGGCCTAGAAAGAGGGGAAAGATTTCTATGTGATTTCACCCACGTATAAATTCCAAGTGACCTCAGTTCTCAGCTATTGGAATGGAATGGACGGTTAGAATTGCTCACGTCACTATATCACGTCCAAACACTTTTTTATTTTTAAATTTTTTTTATTGAGCAGTTTTTTCATATTGTGGCGCACCGAGATAAAGGAAAAGAAAAATGATTCTCACAAAAATTAGTCATTAAAATGACCCTAGAAATTTCAGGGGTATTTGGTAGTCTTTTTTGTCAAAGGAAATATTTTTTTTAATATTATTATCATGTGCATCCCTGTCACATGCATGCATGTTCCAAATTTCACATCAAAATGCTTTATTGAATAAATATAAAAAGTTTAATACTTTGAGCTGTAGGATCAAGATCTAATTCTTGAAAACAAACTTGTGACGGTGTGACTCAAGTCATCCCAACTATGTACTCAGATTTGATAACTAAGAGCAGAGGTCACAACAATTTGTATCTTTGTGGAGTCACATGTAAACCTTTTTCAAAAAAGATAAATTGTAATTTTTTTGGTTTTTGGCTGCCTTTATTGGTAATGAGGTTTCCTCCAATTTTCTTTGAGATTTTGTAATCCTCGAGTTTGAAGTCAAATTCCGGGCCAAAACACTTATTTCCCTTGTATTCACCAAAGGCTCGAAGAATGAAATTTTCAAAAGACTTTAACAAGTATTCAGATGGCTTTCTTGTATCTTGTGGGTACAATCATCCAAGCGCGAAATGCATGCTAGACATACTAAGCAAAGCTTTTTTTAGAGAGAATAATTTGCTTAAATTTTAGAAATTCTTGTCATTAGATACGGAATTTATAGGTTTGATGACTCTTCTTTGAAGATCCCTATCAAAGAGGAAAAACAATTTTTCATTTGTTGTTTTTCTGTTATTATTACTTTTTGACCAATGTTGAAATTCTTTATGAAGGGAAAATTATAGATACTCTTCAATTTCAACTTTCTACACATCCTACTCCAATACTCTTTTTTTTATACTCTAAACCTCAACACTATTTTTTTTTTATATTCATCCAGTCAAATAGTCAAAACATTTTGAGACCAAAATACCTTTTTTATCTCTTCGTTAGAGTATCAGCCACCTCATTTGACTCTCTGTGCACCTGATGAAATGATATTCTCGTCGATCCCTCCAACTCTAAAACTTGAAGCCAAAATGAATACAGGTGCCAGGGGACTTTATGTTGTTGCTCTATTATTCTCATCTTAGATATGAACCAAATTTGATTTAATGTGATCTTTCATGTGCATTTTTTTTCCAACCAAAATATTTTGTGATCGCTACTTTTAACAAAGAATTCTAAGGTACGTTTGGGATGTGCCTCCAACTTTTGAAACCCGAAAGTGCACGCCGGTTTACATGAACCCGAAGGTCTGTGCGGACCATAAATCACATGGTAAGGGAATACAAACTTTTCACAAGAGTAATATGTAAGTAATGAACAATAAAATCATAGTCCATGTGATCGCTACCATCTAAAGAAAGAGTGGATGGTGATAGAAAGGAAAGGTAGCATGGCAATACATAATCCATTGTGCCATTGGTCAACAATGAATACGAAGCATATTGATGTGGACCCCTACAAATAGGAGACCTCACGACGCATGGCCAACATGCACCTCAAAAAGCTTTTATTTCTCCATGACCCACTCCCTATGTTTAGCAACGACCCTCTTCCAGCATAAATAAAAGAGAGACCTCACTCTCACTACACAAAAATTAAACATTCACAAAACCACCAGTCTCATTCCTTTGTTTCT